GAACATTTTTACTGAATTGTCTTTTGATGGTTTTAGGTTCTTAGTGATCCTCAGAAGAAAGCTGTGTATGATCAATACGGTGAGGAAGGATTGAAAGGGAACGTGCCACCTCCTGGTGCTGGTGGAGCTACTTACTTCTCTACCGGTGACGGTCCAACGTCCTTCCGGTTCAACCCGAGAAGCGCAGACGATATTTTCGCTGAGTTCTTTGGGTTCTCTAGCCCGTTTGGTGGTGGTGGTGGCAGAGGTACACGATTCTCTAGCAGCATGTTTGGTGGTGATGATATATTTGCTTCTTTCGGCGAAGGAGCCACCGGTGGTGGCGGCGGGATGCATCACGGTGGAGCTAGGAAGGCAGCTCCTATCGAAAACAGGTTGCCTTGTAGCCTTGAAGACCTTTACAGAGGAACCACCAAGAAGATGAGAATCTCCAGGGAGATTGCTGATGTCAGTGGGTAAGTGATGATCATTCGGTTTTGGTAGCCTTTAGGTTAGCTCGTATGTAGCTTTGTGTCGGTAACATAGTGAAAGCAGAACAATGATCATAGTTCTCTACCTAGTTTAGTGACGAAAACCGCATTATCTGACTAGTTTATGTGTTTTCTTTCGGTAAAAATTGCAGCAAGACGATGCAGGTGGAAGAGATATTGACCATTGATGTGAAACCTGGGTGGAAGAAAGGCACGAAGATCACATTCCCAGAGAAAGGGAATGAGCATCCCGGTGTGACTCCAGCGGATTTAGTCTTCATCATCGACGAGAAGCCTCACCCGGTATTTACTCGAGAGGGTAATGACCTGATAGTCACACAAAAGATCTCGCTTGTTGAGGCCTTGACCGGTTACACGGTGAATCTGACAACACTTGATGGTCGGAGATTGACAATCCCTGTCACTAACGTGATTCACCCTGAGTACGAAGAAGTGGTTCCAAAGGAAGGAATGCCATTGCAGAAAGATCAGAGTAGGAGAGGAAACTTGAGGATCAAGTTCAACATCAAGTTCCCTACCAGATTAACCACAGAGCAGAAGACTGGAGTGAAGAAGCTACTCGGATAGATTGAGTAATTATGATCACTACATTCCAGACAAAGCTATGTAGATCACAGGTTGTGATTGTTGTGTCCTTTTTGGTCGATTTGTAACATATGTACGATTTAATACTCTTGTTTTTTTCTCCATAAACCATAATAATCCAAGCGTTTTTAAACCATGCCTATAAGTGCGAGAATATTGTTGTTTCTAATCACTTCCTGATCCTGATGAGAAGAAAACAATTGCAACACTAGACAGATCTCTGTCCAAAAAGGTTTACTCTCGTCTCCTGCAACAAATTCTTGAACAGCATTGTCCACCTCTATTAAACTACATCCTGGTGTTTTCTTCATGTTTCCGTCTCTGATAAGCTTCCTTATCCTCGAAACATCTTCCCATTTCCCCAAATCTGCATATATATTGGAAAGCAAAACATAATTCCCCATGTCCTCTGGCTCTAGCTCAACAAGATGATTCATTGCAACCAGAGCAACATCAAGATTGCCTCGTGTTCTGCAGGAGCTCAACAGTGAACCCCAAATCTTCGAGTCGGGTTTCACCGGCATTGTTTTTGTTATTTCAACAGCTCGTTCCAGTTTCCCTGCTCTTGCCAAAACGTCTATCAAACAACCGTAGTGTTCAATCTTGGGTTCTATCTGATAATCTTGTCTCATCATGTCAAAATAATTCAACCCTTGTTCCCACATCCCAACATGTGAACAAGCTGATAAAAGTCCAAGGAATGTGATTCCGTTAGGCTTCACCTTCGCTCTCTGCATTTCACTGAATGTTTTGACTGCTCCATCAGCGTTCCCATGATGTGCATACCCTGAGATCATTGTACTCCACGATATGACATCTTTCCCCTTCATTTGGTCGAACAATTCGATAGCTTGACTGATCACACCGCATTTTGAGTACATTTCGATAAGAGCATTGCAAACACCAGTCTGTTTCAGAAATCCCCTTCTCTCCGCATACATATGGATCCATTTCCCCAGCTCAAGAGAACCGAGATGTGCACACGACGGTAAAACAGAAATGAGACTAATCTCATCAGGCTCAATACCAGCTAATTGCATTTCACGGAACAACTCCATGGCTTCTACATAACACCCAATCCCCGTGTACCCTGAAATCATTGCGGTCCAAGATACAATCGTTTTATCCGGCATCAAACAAAACAAAGCTTTTGCTTTCTTCATCTTCCCAAGCCGTGCATATCCAGAAAGCAAACTATTCCAAGATATAACATCTCTCTCAGACATTTCATCAAACACTTTATGTGCATCCACCAGATCATCAAACTTCATGTACATATCTATCAACGCATTCTCAGTCACAACACTGAATTTAGGACCAAACTTGCAGAGATGCCCATGAACTTGCTTCCCTAAGTAACATGATCCAAGGCTTGCACAAGACTTAAACATAAACGGAAATGTAAACCGATCTGGAAACTCAAGGCTCTTCCTCACCAGTTGCTTGTAGATTCGGATCACATCGTGATACACTGAATTGTGTGTATAAGCACGAATGATGGAATTGTACAAGAAAACATTAGGATTCGAGACTTGGTTAAAAAGACGAGTTGCATACTCCATATCACCGATCTTATCGCACAAATCCACCATTTTAGTGACCATAAAACTACTTTGCGATAGTCCATGTATGATGATGCAGCCATGGATTTTCTTCCATTCCCTTGAGCTTTTGAATCGCTGAAGAAGTGGCACAAAATAGTTTTCCACTTCCCTGATTCCTTGAAAGGCCATTGAAGCTAGCTTCTAGTTTTTACTTGGAGTTGTACTTTGTTTTTAGTGGCTCCATGGTGTTTTTAAGACATTCATAATAATGGTAATGGTTTTTACACGAAAAACAAAGAAAAAATGTTTAAAAAGAAACATTGCAAAGGCACGATAATATCCGAAATTCACAAGAATAGTTGTGCTTAGACTTTGACGAAACTATACTGTCTGGAAATCTCAGAGTTTGGTCGAAGAATCCGATAATTCGAAAGACGACAAGCAAGAGAGATCTGGTCTGGTTTAATCATATGCCCCTTCTACTTCTTTTCCTTCACATCGAGGTCCATAGCTTGTAGGTTAAGTAGCAGATCGTTAGAGCTCAAGTAGACCTTGTTTGCCGAGTTTGCGATGGTCTGTGCGATCTCTCTAGCAGCCTCGATCTTCCTAAGCGTTAAGAAAGCTTGGTTGCTTGCGATAGCTTGACCTATGAGCTGAGCACTCTTAGCTTCTCCCTACACAACAACACAAGAAACATTGCTTAGCAAGATTTACCAGTCTTCGGTTTTGTTATGAGATTGAAAAAAAAACATTTTCTGCACCTCAGCGCGGATAACAGCACTTCTCTTGTCCTGTTCAGCCTTTTCCACAATGAACTTAGCCCTCTCGGCCTCTTGAGCTGCCACCTGCTTTGCTTCTATGGCTGCCGTGTACTCCCTTCCAAAGGTCAAGCCCGTGATGGAAACATCATCCAGCGCAATGTTGAAGCTTGCGGCTCGTTGAGTTAAGATTTTCCTGATTTCCCTACTCACCGCCTTAAAAGATAACCAAAAACTCATCGGTTAAAATGCAAGATAACGAAATGATAACATTAATTTATAGCCAGTTAGTTAACCTCTCTCTGAGTAATAAGCTGGCTTGCATTGTACTGAGCAACCACAGCTTTCAAGGTCTCCTGGATGATCGAAGGCAAAACTCTCTCACTGTAATTCTCGCCAAGTGTTCGGTAAATCTCTGGTAATTGGTCAGCCATGGGACGGGTGAGAACTCGAAGTCCAATTTTAACCTGAATGTTTTAATCCCACACAATATAAGCACATATCCAGCTAAAACCAGCCTAAAAACCATCAGTATTAGAGAGAGGAAACGAAGCGGTGTACCATTTGAAGATCACGGCTTCCGGATGTACTATCAACTAGATAAGGTCGTGCACGAACGTCATAGATGATTGGCCTTTCGAACCACGGTATCCTAAGGTGAGTACCCTCAGGGTAGACCTACATAACCAAACATATATTATCATTCACCTTCTCATTCACTAGTTCATCAATAAGACTGTTGTTATGCATAGTTAATGATCAGTGTATTGTCAAGATTGCAAACAGAAGATTCAGTGTTAATATTACAGACTCAAAAGAAGCAGTTTTTGCAGCGACTAACCTTGTCTTTGATACCTTCAAGCCGGTTAAACACAATGGCTCGATGACCTCCATCGACATTGTAGAGACTGTGCGTGGCTCCGTAGATACCGAGCCCACCAAGAACCACCGCAGCTATTACACCACCACCAGGACCCTTGGGAACTTTGACATTCTTGAAACTCATTTTTTTTTTTCAGAAATCTGAAACAGAATCAAAATCCACCAACATTAGGCTCAAAATCGAACTGGGTTCAACAAAATCAAGAGACAGATAATGGAGAATTGAAATTGGCTTTGATAGATTTGTAAATCAGACCCAAGGAAAATTTGGATCGAATGACACAAAAATCAAAAGATAAATCTGCAAATTAGCTGAGAAGAAACGGAAAAAATTGATCACAGATATGATCAGCTTACCGCTAACGAAGAACCCTAGATTGTGAAGATAAACTTGAAATCTGCAGATTAATTTGTAGGAAGAAATTGCGAGAGAGAGAAGAAGAAGAGAGGGGTTAGGGTTTAAGCAATCAGCTTTTTGTTGAACGTTTAGTCGGTCACGCATTTTCTGTTACTTGAGATCTTTGGGCCCAAGTTATATATATCCAGGCCCATTAGTTAATTCACATTTTTTTTAAGTAATCATCATCACTTTGAGATTTATCTCTAATCTCTATGCTATTGTATTTTGTTTTAATATATAGATCCTTAGTCAAAAGTCGGGATCTTGTTATGAGGACCTAATAGAAGAGTATTTATAAGCAATTTATCTTCATGGGTTTGGATATTAGGCTATGTGTCCTTAAGTCTGTTTGGTTTCAAATTTAAGAGTTTTGTGACATTGAACTGATTATACGGTTTTTGCTATGCTGCATCTGTTTTATCGTACCGACAAGGGAATTGGTGATACGTTAATTAAAAAAAAAATTCCATCTATATCATAATAGATAATTTTATAGGATTTTTTTTGTTTTAAATTAGTTGATTTTTTCAATTTTTAATCCAAAATTAAATGCATTTTTATTGATATGATTATTTGCATTTTACAGATTGATTTACGGAAAAATCGTATAAAAAACTTTGAAAGTGATACGCACTGATACTTTAAACCACCAAAATTTATCACTATCACTTAAATCTCAAACGTGATATTATTCACAATATAAACCTCTAACATGACATTTTTGTACGTGCAGTCAAAATTTTAAACGGAGTAGTATACGGTGTTAACGGAACAGTAATTCCGTTTTACTTTTAATTTTTTTTTTGGTTTTTCTGTTGAAAACTTTTTTAAAAATGATTAAAAAGCTGCTTTATTTAAATTAAAAAAAAAAAAAAAGAACTCATGAACTCGGGCACAAATGCAGCATCACACATCCACTATGCCACGACAAACTTTGTAAGATTACAATATATTTTTATATATATCGTCGTGATGGATGAATCTGTCGCACCTTGCTGGCTCGAGGTTCATATGCGACCGTGTTCCGGTCATCACCACTGTAGCTTTCGCCGTCGATATGCGACCGTGTTCCGGTCATATATGACGAGCAGTTGTTTTTCTTGTCGCCATCTCCATCGCCTGCTTCGTCCTCTAATCCGCTGATTTCCTCTCATCGTCACTGGCTCTTCTTCCTCGATTCTCTCTCGCATTTTTCTGTCTTTTGATTCCTTCATGTCCCTCGTTAGTTAGATTTCTCTTAGAGGGTTTATTGGTTCATAAAATTTAATAGATTTAGAAATCTATGAGTATTTGGAATTCTATATAGATTTCAAAATCAATAAATTGGAAATTAAATGAAATGGATTTGAAAACCAAGTAAAATGGAGTTAGATATAAAAACATATTGTAAAATAAATAAAATTGACTTATATTAAGTATAATGATATTTTTTTATTTGCTCTTCAATATTTTTTTTATATAATTAAAAGTCAGTTTTTATTTATTTATGAAATCAAGAAAAAGTTAGTTATTTTATTTATTTTTTTGTCACATAAAAAAACCAGTT